CCACAGCTACCCCTTACTGTCAGCACTCAGTGAGTCTACACACTCATCCAGCATCAATATCCGTCCTCTGAGACACTTTGAGGATGTGACAGCAGGCACAACAACATCTGGACCTCCATCTTAGGTCCTGGTTACTCCAGAATAGGAGTGTACCTGGATCACTCAGCAGGTATTCTGTCCTTCTACAGCGTCTCTGAAACCATGACTCTCCTCCACAGAGTCCAGACCACATTCACTCAGCCGCTACATTCTGGAGTTTGGATGGGGTACGATGGAGCATCTGCAGAGTTCTGTAAACCCAAATAGACCAAAAAGTCAGAATCCACTAAAGGTTCAGTGAGTTTTACTCTGATTTATAATCTTCCAAAGATTGGTATTTTCAACAATCTCTCTTAAATGGTTAATAACCGGAAAATATTAACCTTCTCTCCCCTTGAGACAACAGATATTTTATTATTGTGAAATGTAGCTAATTTCTGTCTAGTTAATTCTTAAAAAGAGAAACTTCAGAATAAAGTTCTGTTGGCGATGGCCCCTGCCCCCACTGGACGTATGTATTGGTACATGACATGATGCAATCAATTAATTATTTATTATTGCTTCATTAGTATACATGATTTGAATTAAGCTGCTTTTAATCACTATAAATACAATTTCTGCTTGAACATTTCTGTATTGTGTGTTTTGTTTCCTATAAATAAAGGCTTCTATATGTGGATCCAGACCTCCAGGAACTTTTCTGTTTACCACCATCTCATCATGTTTCAGCCTAAACTGTTTCCTAATCAAGGCACAACATGTAAAATGCTGATCACAAGGGCTCCCAAAAGCAAGCCTTGTTTGCTGAATTCCACTAATTCAAGACAGCTTCAAATAATCAGTGTTGCCTCTCACTTCAGCAGACCCTACAGTTGATCACAGAGTCCATTGAGAAACCCTGGAGAAATGTGAGTGTGCACAGTTTCATTGGTAGAAAACTATGAGAAGTTCAGAAATTTTATTGAAAAAGGGAAATTATTTTGTCTAACCAATAAAAACAGGTTAGGGATATAGCAGACCATTGCTGAGAGATTTGATGAAAAAATTGTCACCTTTTCCAACACTTACAGCATATTACTCCC